TAATAAACAGCAGTTAGTATGCATTTCTGTCAGTTGTTTTTTTTTCTTAATTTGTTTGAACATATAATCAGAATGATGCCAGGTGGGCAAAATCATCCTGCCACTCTGCCTCGTTAGCAGGATTCTTCCACTCAAAGAGTCAGCAGGGCTGGAATGGCTGAGGTTGGCATTTGAATAAGATGCAAAGATCTGAATAAGATACAAAGAAGAAGGAGAGCCAAAAGGAGAGACTATTCCTTGAGCCAGGGTTCCTGCCAAGCTGTCTTTCCCTTTAATTCCATAACACCCCATGCATATTGCACTCATTGCAGATTCTGGAGGGGAAGATCGAAACCCAAGTAGCTGACATTTTGAAACATTGTCTTTCAAATTTGTACCATCCTTGTTTTCCATTGATTTCCCATTTAAGAAGTCTGTAGGAGAAAAATAAATTTGAGCAAAGTTCATTGGTTTAAGATGAGTTGTTAGAGGCAAATTATGCCCCCCCTTTTCCATCTTGAGAAAAGTTCCATTTTTATTATGAATGTAATGTATCTTTTTCTTGTATTGTACAATCATAAGACTTCCACAGCAAATCGACCAAGTAAATCAAGAGCCTGTTTAAAAGCAATGTGGGTGCTCCAAACACAGACATTTCAGTCTTACTGGGTCACTGGATATCTTCATTTTTATAATCACTTTCGAGGAGCGGATCATTTCAATTGGTTTTGTTTTCTTCACTCTATTTATGTGTGGCCCAATGGCTTTAGGTGAGGCCATTTATTTTTCAGAATGTTGTTAGCCAGTGCATCCAAGGTCCAACTCTTTTTATATGGTTGTTGTTGTTACATGCTATCGAGTTGGTTCCGACTCATAGAGACACTGTATAGGGTTTCCAAGGAGCAGCTGGTGAGTCTGAATGGTAGTAACCAGTTTTAGTACCGCGAGCCACAATAATATAGCTGACTCTACAAAGGAAATCTGTGTTTTGAAACAGAGCATTTTGAAAAGAAATTAATTCAGAGCTTCAGAAATTAACTATTTGTATGTTAATTGTAGATAAGTGTTTGAAAGACCTTGTTTAATTGAGAAGAGAAGAAGAGACATATTGGATGTTATAAATGGTCTCAATCCAAATTCTTAGGTTGGCATTTTCACATTTGAATGTTTTATTTACATCTGTTTCAATTTGGGATACCTTTCAAGGATAATCTTATTATAGAGAGATTTATGACAACTTTTATGATCTAAAATTTAAAAATACAGAATTAAAAAAGGAAGGTAAGAGTCATTGTCATACGTCAAATTGGATATAAACTTCATTTGACAATGAGTGTGAATGATAGGTTGCATTTTACATCAAAAGATCCTGATGGTAGGAGTTAGAGGGGATTGACATCAGAGGGGCCATGTGAGAACCGTCTGCAGTGAGAGCAGTTTCCTTTATCCTGATAGGGTTTCCGTAATCTGATAGGGTTGGCCATTATCTGGGTATATATATTTGTCAGGACTCACCAAACTGTTCTCTTAAAATGTATGCATTTTATTTTATGTAAATTATAACTCAAGGAAATTTTTCAAAATGACAGTGTCATTTTCTTTTCCAGTACAGCACTTGAGCTGTATTGTTGTTGTTGCTAAGTGCCATCGAGTCAATTCCGACCTATAGTGACCCTGTATAGTGTTTCTGAGGAGCAGCTGGTGAGCTTGAATCACCGACCTTGCGGTTCAAACAGCTTTGCAGTCTGACGCATTAGCCCACAGCACCACAAAGAGCTATAGAGAAGTAAAATGATTTGTAGTTTATACAGGGAAAAGGCAAAGACTATGTAAATTATCTTGCTTCTTTACCCCCATATTATTCCAACTCTTTGTGTACATGAAAATGAAATTAACTTCTCTGTGTATTTCAGTAGGTGTCCTTGGGTGAATCTGTAGGATAGAAAATGAACTGCTAACCACAGGTTGGCAGTTCAAGCCCACCAGCCACTCCTTGGAAACCCTATGCAGGGTCACTGTGTGTCGGAATCAACTTGATGGCACTCAACAACAACAAAACAATCTAGTTCAGTAAGCCATCCATTTGTATACATTGCTGCAAGATACATGCACAAACATATGCTTGATACTTTTTAAATTGAGGTGAAATTCAATTTAATATGAAATTACTCATTTTAAAGGGAATAATTTCATGGCATTTAGTTGTGTAACCACTATTTCTGTCTAGTTCTAAAACATTTTCATCACCCCAAAAGGAAAGTCCGTTAAGCAGTTGCTCCTCATGCCTCCCTCCTCACCAGTTTGTCTTCTGTCTTTATGAACTTACTTATCCTGAATATTTCATAGACATAGAATTCTTATGATTGATATTTTTGCCTTATACTAGAAAACTACAGCACAGTAGTTCTGAATGCTGACCCATGATATGATTGAATCTGCACACAGTAAACTATGTCATGGATGTAGTCTACTGTATTGTGTTGTTAGGTGCTGTCGTTGTTCAGATCCATAGCTGTCGGGGTCTGACCTCGACATAGTTGTCACGA